AGAAAATAATCTACAATCTACCTCCTTTTAAAGTGACTGTTGTCTTCAGATGTAAAAACCTACCAACATGACTAATCCTACAGTGTTTATAATTTGGATCTCATGGTTGAAATACATTCCATGTCAGAACAAGCACAAAAAAATCAACGACTGAACTTCCCCTTTGAAATTAAACGATATGGTAACTTCAGCAAGTCTTTCCCTACTTTTGATATTGACCCTTGAAAGCCAAATTCTATCAAAAGAGTGAAGCATTATCAGAAACTTTTTCACACTTCTTTAGCTCATTCTCTCAGACCAACATGATTAATTGCTCAGTTACTTTTCTGTACCTCTTCCAATCATTTAGAATACTTATTTCTGTAACATAACCACATGCAGTTAACATCTCTTGATTTCTTCTTGATTGTGGTTTAATGAGAAAAATCCAAGACATCAATCTTTGCCTTAAGTTATTTTAGTTCCAATGTTCAAGTGATTACGTTTACTCTCATAACAATCCTTTCATGTGACAAACTCAAAGCAGTTTAATAACTTTAATAAAAAAGGTAAGAACAGAGCTGACTTGAAAGGAGTTCAGTTGTTTTTAGGCAATATTAGTGACGACATTCCCTGTGCACTAAATATCTCACTACTTGAGGGCAAGCGAAACACTAGCAATCAAGCCAAGACAACCAGACTGAGATAGAATTTGTAGATAAAAAAGTGCAATATATACTGCAAAGAGTTTAGGATATATACTAATAAAACCAATAAAGTATAAGAAACATGCCTAAGATTTCCATGGCAAAGTGAGAACAGAAAGAGCAATTAATAGGCATTATCCTTTCCTACTTACAGGAAGATTTAGCCAGGAATGGTTGGAAGAAAAGAGTTCAACTTTTCAAATTTTAAGGTTTTTCAAAATATTTTACTTCAGTTCTGAATTAAAATAAAGGGGTTTAATATATCATAAAAACATAAATAAAAATACTGGTGCACACTAATAAACTTCAAAGACATGCTTAACACACCTATGGCTGCCTGTCATCCTCTTCCCCCCTGAGGTCATCTTTACTCTCCAGATAAAAATTCTAACGGTGAGAATTCACACCCGGTGTTTAGAAGCCTAATACCTGATAGGAAGTCATAGAATGCTAGAATCCTAGAATGGCTCGAGTTGGAAAGGACCTTAAAGATCATCTCAGTCCAAATCCCTTGCCACAGGCAGAGACACCTTCCACCCTACCAGGTTGCTCAAAGGGCCTTCCAACCTGGCTTAGAACACTGAAGCTCTCAAGTTGTATGTGGGTGTCAAAGAGATAGTGCCTTTCCACAGGACCCAACTCATCCAACCACAGCCCCTCCAAGACGTCAGGCTGGAGGGGAAGCAAATACTGTAAGGGCAGGGCAGAAGCTGCAGTGCTGCACTCAACAGCAGGCACTGGTTAGGGAAATCAGAAAAAAAGCCCAGGAGCTACCATAGATCTTAGTGGGGGGAAAAAAAAAAACAAAAAACAAACCACCTCCTCCCTATGGTCTCCCAACTCTTGGCTGCTTACTAGTACCCTTTGCCTTTCCACAAGGCTCAAAATCACTTCTCCAGCACAGGCCAAGCCTTGGGTCCTGAGAGCTCCTAGTCCTCAGCTGCAATGCTGCAGTCACAAAGTACCAAGAACAAGCAGGTCCGACTCATTTTGGGAAAATTTGTATGCCAGCTCTCCCTGAGCAGAGATTGCCATAATCAGATGGCAATCATATGAGGAGCGGGAAGGTACAGTGAGGTGGGAGGGATAGGGGAGGAAACTCCAGCTTTGAAAAAGATGGGTAGCTCTGGAGATATTGGGGGCCAAGCCCACCCATATCACCACAACCAGACATCCTCATGCAGGTGCAGAGCATGCATAGGGGAGCACCATGCTGCCACATTAATGCCACCTTAGCTCTTTTCACCAAGGACTTCCCCACTCACCATATAACCATATTACAGTTTGGGTTGGAAGGGAACTTAAAAGATCATCTGGTTACGCTCCTCTCCCACTGCATGGGCAGGGACACCTTCCTTCCCCTTGCCTTTGTGTGCACCCCCTGGAACTGCTTGGCACCTTGGAAACTCTGCTTCCCTAAAGAGACACCTGAGAGCTCCAAGTTCAAGTCCTCTCTCTGCACAATTCAGGCTGAGAGTTCTGACATTTTGAGGAGCTACACTGTCAGGTTGTGCATATGTATGTGTGCCCACATCAGTCCATGTTATAACCCTCTTCTGTCATGTGACCCCCCCCCAACTTTCCTCCTCATCCTAAGAAAACAAATAGGCTCATACAAAATTTCTGTTTCTTAGAAAAAACCTCTTAAAAAAATTCTAGACCTGTACTCATTCAAAGAAGTAAAGCATAAAAGAAAAATCTCTTATGGAGCCATACTCTTCTAATCCCCACTATCCAGATCTTAACTCCAAGAAAATCTTCTTGCACACATATGCTATTAGAAATTATTGGTGTATGTTGCTACCTCCAAAAGCACATTAAAAAAACAATATTCAATTCAAATCATGCACATGGAAAAAAAAAGCTAATTATTCTTCCAGAAAAAAAAAAAAAAAGTTAAAACTGCATAATAATTTGATTATTCAACCACAATACGAATAAAAGACAAAAATAAAACAGGGCATGCAGTTAAATGTTATTTTTCTTTACTTTTTGGTAGACCTATTTTCTATCTGTGTTCTCCTGTTACCAACGTATTGCACTGAAGATGTCAGTGTTGATCAGCTTCCAATCATCAATGGCACTTATTGAAATAGCATTCTGCAAAGAATGTGATTTTCTGCCTTTGCTGGAGTACACCATTAATTTGTGGAAAAAAAAAATTAAAAGTGAGCCCTGCTTGTGGGTTGCTTCTCCTCTTTCATTTTTGATATAAGACAATAAATAAACATTTTACAAGGTGGTTTTTTGCATACATACTGTCTTCTGACAAAAATAAAATTCCCTTACAAATATGATATTATAATGCTCAAGCAATGTTCAAAAAAAGCTTTTCTCTAAAAATTATGAAAGCTTAAATAGCATGGACCTGAGTTGTCTTGGTTATTTTGAAAGTCCTATAGAGCTGAACAAGTAACATTGTAATAGATTTATACAGAAATGTTTCAAATATCTTAAGACAAGGAGAAAGAGACAAAATTGTTAAAGCATTCTTTTAGTCTGTGTTACAAGCCTATATAGAGAAGGCATTTTCTTAGTGAATACTCAGGTACTGCTTAATGAAAATTTTCAAGGTTATTGGAAAAATCTTTGACCATACACACTTTAAACAATGCATACTAAATCTGTTTTTAAAGCTGCTGAGTGAGCCCCACTGTGTCAGGAGTGGAATGTGTCCACTCATCCTGCCTCTGTCATCTTGGAGGAAGCCTGAGAGCAAAGACTCCCCTGGAGGGAGCCCCTCAGGACTAATGAAGATCCAGGCTGTAACTTTTTCTCCTCCCATAGCAACATGCAGACAGCAGGAGAGTTTACAAGATGCCCTCTTTACGGAAATATGATTAATGACAAAGAAAGTTTGACATTTCCATGTAAAGACATCTGCATTTCTATTTCCCGTTGTATATATTATATGAAATATTTAAATGACTATTATTCAAATAACTTCCCAATGACTTGCATATTTAAATTTCAAAATTATCACAGAGTACCTTTTTAACCACTAGGAATATTTAGCAAAAAATCCCAAATCTATCCCCATTCTCTCTTCCCCAACCACAAATAAAATATATTTTGATGATGATTTTCTGTAGATAAAGAGCTTTTCCAGTTACAGAGGAGTTCAGGTAGAGAATAGTTAGTGGATTGGTGGCTGTATTACATAGCATAAAACATACCAAAGAAATAATAAAGCAACCCATTTAGAAAGTCTTTGACTACATCAAAGACAGCATCTACATCAAAAAAAAAAGAGGAAGGCATCATTACCAGACTAATGAGGTAACTTTATCACATTACATTGAAGGTTTTTTCTCCCCCAATCTAAAGCTGAGTTTATAAAAGTGGAATTAGTCCCATTTTGAAAATGGTTTGTATGTTAATGTAGACAAAAAGAGAATGCAGGTCTACTAACTAAATGCTTTCCATACGTAGAACATAAGGCAATTGTCTTGATATCCCCTAATTATTATTACTGCAAAATCTAAAACTATTTAAGTTTCGCCCATGGAGAGAAGAATCTTACCTGCAGAACCTTTTCTGTTCCAGAAAACAATTGGTTAAACACAGTTCAATTTTATGAGGAGAAAAATACTGAAAGATAGTACTGACCAGTTTTACATACCTATATATTTTTTAATAAAAAGGATGCATGCTGAAGCCCAGTTTCAACAAGTACCATGAAACAAAATTCCCAAACATTATAAATGCTTAACATGTTATTACATCCTTATTGGTCCCACACTAGAAAAAATATTCAAGCAGCAAACAACCAACGGTTGTTTAAGAGCGTAATATGGTACTAGAAAAAATAATGCAGCACAGCAACAAGTTCACTAAAGTGGTCCTTTAACACACAACATACCAGATGAACAGCTGTTTATCTTGGGGGAAAAAAAAACAAAACCAAAACAAATAAAAGAGGGCATAAAGACTTCTGAAAGGATCTTCTCCTCGGTATTGAATAACATGCAAAGTATTGAAGGACTCTTGCATGAAATCAGGAATAGCACTATGTCGTTTTTCATGGTATTTAAAAGAGCTAAGCAGACACACGACAGGATGCCAGCAGGCAGCTTGCATGAGACATAAGGCTTTATATTCCCACTAGGAACGTACCTTCTCTGCTTTTGCTTTCCTGGCGTTATGCACAAACCTGCGTCCCAGCTTCTTGGCATACCAGATAGAGGCAAACATTGTAGTGATGAAGATTTCAGTCTGAATATGCAGCAAACACACCAAAAAAAAAAAAAAAAATCCAAGCCAAAAAACCAAAACCAAAAAACTTCCCCCACAACTGAGACACAGATCTAATGCTGGTTAAGGTCTCAACTATTCTCTTGCTTTGTCAGGTCCTCTCATGCTGCCTTCTGAAAAAAAAAAAAAAAAAAACCAACAAAAAAACAAACCACCCAGTGTGGCCAGTCTGCAGGTGTATTTACATACTGCCAGCAGGAAGTCCAGGGTGAGGCATCTTTGCATCCAGCTCACATCCAGTCTGCTAAGTGCCTGTCTGCAGTTCTTTAGCACTGTCACCACAAACTACATATGTGTCAGTATGAAAGGAAGCTGCAGTAAACTACTGTAGCAGACAGCTCACCTCCTCTTCTCCTGTTCTGAAATTTAACTCTTTGGTTCTCTTCGATTTGCCAGCATGCAACAGAAGCAGCAGCAGTTCAAATATGAGATACACAGAACTGCAGGAAAGCAAAGGGGTACAAAGGTGCCAAAAATAGAAATGTGTATTAACTGTTAAGGTGAAGGAACAGGTGTTTTTTTTTGTGGGGGTTTCAGTGCAATAAAGATATGAAAGGGAAATTGATTTTACTTTGTTCTTGTGCTTTGGGATCTATTCAGAGGTATTTTTGTCACCTAGTTTCAGTTCTCAACAGACAGGCATCATAGCTGCTCACTTCACTTGCTGATGTCATACATGCTTTGCTGAAGGATTTAAGACTCAGTCAAGGGCTTCTCTTTGACAATGGCTTCATGAAATAAAAATCTGATAGATTTTTTTTTTTTTTCAAATTTCAAACTTCTGCTCTACCTAGAATCATAGAATCATAGAATTAACTGGGTTGGAAGAGACCTCTGAGATCATCAAGTCCAACCCTTGATCCAACCCCACTGTGCTTACTACCTAAGCATGCTTTTCCCTCTTCCTTTAATTGCAAGCTATTTTGCATTAGGAATGGAGAAGTACCTTTGAACACCAATTTTTGCAGCAAAACAGCAATGCATTTTTTTCCTTTTGTCACATACTTCAGCTTTAACCCCTTCACTTCTCTTCAGTTATATTTCTGAACAATAAGCAGAAACATACTCTTTTGGCTCCAGACATATGACTAACCAGATGTTCCACCCAGTCAGACGCAGTATCAAAGCTGTAAACTTACAGGGTTTATAGCTATGTACTGTATTCTACAGTACTTGTATTATAAGACAATATGCCCAATGCCCTCCCACCTACAACTGGAGATACCAATATGTGGGAGAACCACTGCTGTCCTGTGTGCAGGACTGGATTTGGGGTGCACACATGCAAGAATAATTTCTGCTCTACTATTCTGTGGTAAAGGGCAAACCAAAATTATTAGATGCATGGCAAAGGAAATAGCAATTTATTGTGGGGCTCCTGGTTCCAAGGAAACACTTCTCTCCCCCACCCCCCACCCCAGATTTTCAGAGAATGGCTGAAACTATTTCCTCCAGGGTACATAAAATCAAAAGGGAAAATACTACACTCCCACTTATAACTTACATAGAACATCCAAGTTACTGTCTCTGGATGGCATTGCCCAAGCTTTGAGCCTTAAGGTATATACTGCTCAATTCTGTTAAGATTATAAAGAGTTCAAAGAACTCTTCCACACATTTTAAAATGGTAAGTTGGTTAACTAAATTGAAATTCTTAGATAGTGAGAGGTCTTTGCCAAGGTAACTCCAAGGTGTATGTTTGGTTTTTGCTTGACATCTAGAAACTTCTGACAAAATATTTGGTAACTGGTGATATTTCCGGGAAGAAAATAGTTTCTAATTACTTCCAGTTCAGATATTTAGTTAGTTCCAGCAGTCAGAAAGTTTTAAGACCACAAGATACAGCAAAATCATGTCTCAGCTGGAGTATGGTTGCTACCTGTCCATAACACCACTCCAACTTTCTGAACTTTAGGCTCATAGTAAAACGGATTCTCCAAGGTGAGAAAAACTTTATTATGCCACGTAGCAGCCTCACAACATTATTCACACTTGTGGGATAACAGAGTGTCACATCATGGAGGGAAGGGAAGATTAAAGGGTAGAAAGATGGTCTGAAAAAATTAGGAAGAAAACAGAGATCTTGTTTCTAGACAGGATGTCACTGTAAGAAAAATGGTGGGGGAAAAAAGTTTAGAAAAGAAGAAGCAACATCATTACACAACTTAAACAACACTAAAAATGTTAAAGGAACAGGAAAAAATCTTACATAGTATAAGCATAAACAGTAGAACACTTCTCCCACTCTGGTCCCATGTTTTTATGAAGAGAATAAGAATAATTCGAAATCATTGCACTACAACCAAAAAAAAGGCTACATTCTCCCAAGCAACTATTTATATAGTCTTATGTATATTCAGAAGCTAAGAAAATTGAAGGAAACACTCATTAAACAATAAAGCCTCATTTTTATGACTTTTATCATCAACATTAGCAGCTTTACTGAACTATTTATTCAGGAAAAATAGGGAGTAATAAAAAGCCACAATTCAGCCCACTTAAAGGAAAAAAATAGAATACATTGTTCGTTTAAGAAATAATGACAAAGCAATAGGGAGGTAATTTTCTCCACCCACTGAAAATGTTAGATCAAAAAGAATAAATCTCGCCAAATACCTAATTCTGATTCTCATCAGAAATGTAGTTTAACTATTTGCATGCATTTGCAGATCTATCCAAACCCCCAAGTACAGCAATGTCCAGACTATGAGCCATTTCCTTACAGCTCTATCACAAAGCAGTCTACCATATATTGCCAATAGCAGGTTTATTAGGTCTGTACTTGTACTGAGGGATTTTATGATTATGAATATTTTACTGTAACCATAATGAAGACTGCATTTTACAGAAGTGCTACAAGCAGAGCTGCTCTAGAAGAATTGGAACTCCCAGCTGCTGTCTGCTCACAGGAGTAATATGTACTTTAGCTTGCTCACTGAAGTGCTACATTACAAGGACAGAGAGATGCATGCCACTGAGCAACAATATTATCACAGACAGGAGATAATCAGTTAAGAGCAGTTTTTACAAGCAGCTTCTTTCTACAAACAAATGGGTGGTTTTCAGTAAACCAAACCACATCAGAACTACACATTAAATGCCATTCTTGTTCCTCTATGAGAAGAATTGGTCTTACCACAAGTGGACACATGGGTATAAGCACAAAGCCACTACACTGTTGAATCCTTTTATTTTCTTATGACATGGCTCCCCAACATCGCGATCAACAGCAACTGATGCTCAGTACCGAAACAGATGGTTGTTTCCAACACCTTGCCAACTGTTTGTATGCACTGAGCATCACCAGTATTTCTGACAGTTTGCCTCCTTTTTCAATTTTAACATTGCAGTTTTACTTGAGCAGCACACGGGAAGAAGTGCGGCTTAGCTTTAGACAGGGTATTAATTTTCTCTTGTTAAGGGATAACTTCTCACAGCACACACGTGGGGAGTCAACCTCCCCCTCACACACCTGTGGTGAAGATAGATGTTAGCTGTAGATTCTGTTTCTCTCCCACCTCTGTCTGAATATATACACACAGTAGTCATAAAACCTGATGACAGGGCCATTTAAAATACAAATATGTTCAGTCATAAATAATGTCTTCCTTGTAAGAATGGGAAGATGGATGGGAATTAGTCATTCAGGGTTTGCAGAACTCTGTTTCCAGTGAAATGGACAGGAGATGGAACAAGTTAAAAATGAAATACTTAAGATATAAAACAATCACTTTGCTTCAAGGTTTTTTTGTTAACACTCAGCACAGTTGTGGGTACAGGAACAGAGCTGCTGATGAGAAACTAAGGTATTTAGCTTTACAGCAGATATTGATTTGACTGACTGTACAAGCAACCATTTCCCATCCCCAGCACAATTAATTATCTTACACAGTTGCATGATGCCAAGACATACTATTTAATGACCAGAATACTAAGAAAGACAGGAACCTAAATGTCTGCTATTCCATGCAGAAGGTGTAAATTTTAGGCACTAAGACCTTACAGCAGTTCAAGTAGATGGAAGTCCCAGTATTTTTAAGGACCCGATTTTTCTCTTTTTCCTCTAGGCAGTGGACTAATGTTCCTCCTAATGCAACAGGCAGTGTTTTTATTGGAAACACATAGCCACTCTTACAAAAAGGGTAGTTACCCTAATCAGCACCACCAAAACATGTTCAGACTTCTCTTTTGGCCAGGGCAGGATCCACTCTGTTACAGATACAATACAGGTGACAGATTATCGTAGAATAGAATCATTCAGGTTGAAAAGATTATTGAGTCCAACCATTAATCCAGCACTGCTCAATCCCTCTAAACCATGTCCCTATGCACCACATCTACAAGAGTTGTAAATGCCTTCAGGGATGGTGACTCAACCACTTCCTTGGACAGCTTGTTCCAATCCTTGACGACGCCTTCCATGAAGAATTTTTTTCCTAATATTCAACCAGACCTCCCCTGGCGCAACTTGAGGCACCCATCTGGCTACAAGCTCCTTTCAGGTAGTTGCAGAGAGCAATAAGGTTTCCCTGAAATTCCTTTTCTTCAGACTAAACAAACACAGATCCCTCATCAGACTCCAGACCCTTCCCCTTCTCTGTTCCCCTTCTCTGGACATGCTTCATCACCCCAACGTCTTTTTTGTTGTCGGGGACCCAAAACAGAACACAGGATTTGAGGTGTGGCCTCACCAGTGCCAAGTATGTAAATTTCTACTTATAATATTCTTCACCAGTTATGATGTTTCATAAAAGATTTTTTTTTGTAATAAAAATTTTAAAATTCTACCACTTGGCCCTGAATTTTAAATATGAAACCTAGCTTGCTTTAAAGCTAAAGGCTTCCTCAGAACATCTAAGTCAATGGCAGGAATAGAGTGCAATGATTCTGAGAACAGTCACTTATCCTGACGAAGAAACGTTGCAGAGAAGGGAACTGGGAAAAAAAAAAAAAAAAAAAGAAAGCAGAAGATGAAGGAAGATGGGATAAAAATGGGAAAAAAAAAAAACTAAAATGAAGTGCTGCATATTAAGGATGACAGAGGTTCATGCTCTTCTCTTCCAATTTAAATTTTTCTACTCCCTTAATATTTCTTGTGCCAAATCTTTTCTCTGTAGAAATTATGCTTTCAGAAACCCAGATGTGACATTACAAGTTTGCCCCAGGTCTAATTTCCCCTTAAAACAGAAGATACTGCATGCATACATACATCTCCTCTGCCACCTTTCCTGATGTATGGCAGAACTGTCTTCTAGCAGAGGGCACGAAGAATTTCAGACACAACATCACAGGACTTCAG